ACAAAAGTATCAAAAGATCGTTTCAGTTGAAGCAACTGCCTTTTACCAAAGTGACACATAACAATCAAGTTAAAATAGACTAACTTCTAGAAGTCAGGGGGTCCACGAGTGCCGCATTGACGAGGACTTGTCTGGGAGACTGCTGGGACGGTACTTTCTTCCTGAGGTCTCTTATTCGATGTTTCCTTCAGCGTTCACCGATACATGTGCGGCATACTTTCTCGCATCCGTTTCGTCGCCGTTCACCTTTAATTGAACGACGTGGATGAAGTGAGCTTCTGTGTGCATGTCTCCCTCGTTCTTTGATGGCTTGTACCATCCCAGCAGTATAAAGCCCGGGCACCGTTATACTCGCTGATTTTGGCGTTTACACTTTGAAAGTAAAGGCATTGTAGACAGCCAGTTTTGTCTTTTTTTGTGGCAAATATTGCAAAGCAAATATTGCAAGAGCACGAACGCTCTGCATATCAATTATTTTCTTTGATGTCCGCTGGCCACCTGGTTCTTGCCAAGAGACTCTTACTCGCAAGGCATTGCAGCCATGTCCCTTTTTTTCTAGGCAAAAGCAGGTTCTCTCTTTACCGGGCGACGATAACGTTCCATCACACAAGTTACCACAGCAAGCACTCGGTGCAATGTCAACTCTTGTAAGTTTCAGGTCATTTGTTGTTACGGCAAATTACTTCATTGCAGTTTCGTGCTCCACGTCAAAACTGAGTGGAGTTTCAATGACGTGGCTTTGAGCAATTGGTACAAGCGGCTCCTCGGTATCCAGTAGCAGGTTTTCAGCAAACAGGCTTAAATCGAACAGGCTCGCCGCTTTGGCGCCCGTGCAGAGAAGTCAGCAATATTTTCTTCTCGTCAGCGTCATTGCCTTGAGCAATATCCGTGAGCGTCACCACCTCGTAATGATCTTGAACGGCTTGCTGAGCCTCCGTTAGGTTTAGTCGAGGTGTGAGTACAGGCATGTTTTAAACTGAAATAAATAACCAAGGTCGATGGCTTGAAATTTTTAACGAGCATTAACACAAACGAGATTTAGTACAGCATTAACACAAATGTCGATGGCTAGATGTTTCATCACGCACAATCATATACGGAAGAAGTAGAGGAGCGAAGAGGGGTTCTGACACTGACAACAGAAGCAGGGGAACCTGACAACACAAAAGTTTTGAAAGTTCCTGTTTTAGTTGAAGCAACCGCCTTTTACCAAAGTGGCACATAACAATCAAGTTAAATACCTTCTAGAAGTAAGGGGGTCCACGAGTGCCGCATTGACGAAGACTTTTCTGGGAGACTGCTGGGACGGTACTTTCTTGCTGAGGTCTCTCTTATTCGGTGTTTCCATCAGCGTTAACCGATACATGTGCGGCATGCTTTCTCGCATCCGTTTCGTGGCCGTTCACCTTCAATTGAACGACGTGGATGGAGTGAGCTTCTGTACACATGTCACCCTCGTTCTTTGATGGCTTGTACCATCCCAGCAGTCTAAAGCCTGGGGCATCGTTATACTCGCTGATTTTGGCGTTGACACATTCTTTGAAAGTAAAGGAATTGTAGACAGCCAATTTTGTCCCTGGAGTTTCAATGACGTGGCTTTGAGCAATTGGTACAAGCGGCTCCTCGGTATCCAGTAGCAGGTTTTCAGCTAACAGGCTTAAATTGAACAGGCTCGCCGCTTCGGCGCACGTGCAGAAAAGTCAGCAATATTTTCTTCTCGTCAGCGTCATTGCCTTGAGCAATATCCGTGAGCGTCACTATCTCGAAATGATCTTGAACGGCTTGCTGAGCCTCATCTAGGTTTAGTAAGAGGTGTGAGTACAGATATGTTTTTAACTGAAATAATTAACTTTTGAAAACAATCAGAAAATGGGCTAATTGGGCTGAGGCGAGTGTTGTGAAAATGAGAAGGGCCTTTCAGTTAGAAGAAATTTGGAACAATTATTTGGGCGACTGAATGGAACGTGTGCACTTCACGGTTGATCTTTAGGAGAGAACAAACACGTTCAATGTAGTCTAGGATCAGTTTAACCAAGGCAGCAGCAATATATTAAATTAAAGGTTGATGAGTAAATGAGCCACATTGAATGGCGCGGACGCCAGTAAACAAGAGAACTACAAAAGAATAACTTGAATTGGTTCAATTAATGAACCGCATTGATTGGTCATAATGCCAATGACGACTGAAGCGAACGTTTGTACTTCGCGGTTGAAAATAAGGCAAAATTGATGGACTTGGTCGATGTCGTTCATATCTCTGTTCAATGTTGATAGAGTTTTGGACTGCCGCAAGAAGGGCTTGTCGTTCGGATTTGTTGATTTCTGGTTAATCAGAGAAACCAGTGGCGAATTGAAGGACACCCCACGGTTGAAGCTGAGGGAGGGCTGTTTCGGCGGAACCTTGACAAGTGTTGTGGTCTTATAAGCTTTGCCGAAGATTTTCAGACTGGTCAGCAAATATGAGCGGTGGCTGCCTCGTGGTGATCAACAGAAATACGTAACCGTTGGCTGTTGAAGGCAATTGGATCCGTCTTGCTCGAAACGGCGACAACTGAAATGCAGGCAGCTCTACATGCTCCCTGTTGGCGGACGTTTCGGTGAGTCGTTGAATGTAATCGTCGTAGGGACTCTTATGTTTCAAGAGGGACCCTATTGCAGTAAGTGGTGTCAGCATCGTCGATGAAAGTGCAGTTTCTTTACTTTGCTGAACAACTTGAGATTGAATTGAAAATCGGGCAAAAAACATGTTTTTTGAATCACTATTCTTATAGAACTTTCCTCAATTCTGCCTCAATCAAGACTGTCAGGACTTTGGTATGAATCTTTGGCTACTACGGCCGTTTGTGCTTCTTTTGAGCTTAATTTTAAACAAACTCGTTGCACGAGCTAACAGACAGTTAGAAAAAAGTCCGCGAACCCGAGGAAACAGAAAAAATCGATCTTCGTTTCCTTGCTGTCATTGAATTTCTCCAATTTTCTGTTGGCTATGTTGTTGAGTTATCAGTGAAATAGGCTATCTAACCCAGCTAGGTATTTTGTAGGTTCAATGTGCGTCTTCTGAGGATGGTAGTTCTAGATGATTACTTAGGAACCGTAGCATTAGTTTGTTAAAAAGGACATTTGCAGATTTATTGACAAGAAATAGTTGCCAAAAATGAACTAACATTTTCACATCGTCTCGAATACCGGCTGGTCAAGTTTTTTGCCCATTGTAAAAATCAAAAACCTTGAATATTCTTGAATACTAAATTCCGGTTTGATAAAAAATGTTATTGTGAAAATGTATACGATGTGGTTTTTTGTTCATTATAGTGGTTTTTTTTGCAGACTCCTTTCTCATAAACAACTTGACAATATTCAAAAAAATTGTAACAATGGAAAGATCTCAATTGGGGAAGGGGGTTGTTAAAGTTTTTATAATTTACCCTCCCAAATATGGGAGTAAGGGCTCAATTGAAAAACTGGCGCTGGGAACCTTCCCTTCTTAAGGGGCTACGCCCTAATTTATGTAGAAAAAATTAGTCTTAGGGAAAGGCTATTTTTGAGATTTTGGCAATTTTAATGAAATTTTTTCACTTTTCTTGAAATTTTGAAAACTATTCTGCCAAATCTGGTATTAAGGGTTGAATTTTAGAAAAATGGTTGGAGGGGATTTTCTGTGCATAACCGCAAACTCTTTAATTTTGACTGGGAAATCGCTGTGGACTTCATAACAGTCTCTTTTTTGACATTTAATCATGCCTGAAAGTTCTCATTTTTTCTCTTTTCAAAAGGATTTTATGTCTGGGGCATGACCTTTTAATACAGTTTGGCACAGCAGTTTTGGTCTTTTGTGTTTCTTGGTGTTCTTTCTTGAGCCAATTACGCGATACAAATAAATATGAAATATTTTTCACCGTGCAGAAGAGTATTTAGATCCCTATTTTGAAGTAAGTCATGAGCGGATAATTTGCTCGCAGGTAAAATGCGCATTTTTTTTTAAAATTTTTGGCTCATATATAAGAAATATATATAAAGCGGCACTGGAAAAATACATTATATTTGCACTGAAAACTACTGCTATGCTATGCCGGTAGCTTTCGTAGCTTCACAACGGGTCTTATGAGCCACCATTTAGCCATTTTTTTTTGTATCTGGAGCATTAGGAAGTCGGTTTAGTTGCCACATCACTGATTTTTGTTGTGCTGTATACAAATTTCATTGTAGTTGCAAGTTCAAGTGTTTTCCATTGTTGTTTAAGGTCTAAGGTGGGACTTTAAATTTGTTTTTTTTAAATCATATTTTTAAGCTTAACTTGTGTGTGCTCAAAGATTGTCATTTTCAAAGATTGTCAATTTCATTTTTTTTTTCGGTTTTTTGTGTTTCTTAATGTTTTTGTTGTATCGCAAGTATTATGTTTGTGTTGTATCGCAAGTAGCTCCGCTTCGCCTCTGTGTCAATAGTCGTGTGGGGTCTTTCTAAACCATTTTTGCTTGTTTGTTTTGTTTTTGCTGAAAACTGCTTTTGTTATTTTGCATTCAGATCACATATTTAAGCTATCAGTCTGCTTTCATTGGGCTTTCCCAGCTTTTTAGAATTAGGTTAGTATTGCCATCACTTCACAAAGCTCGTAGCAATCAACAAGTTTGGTATCATATTAGAGCTCTAGCAGTCGTGATAAAGATTCTTAAAAATATATATATTAAAATATATAATTCTAAGAAATATAATTCGCGGGCTAGTAATTGGAGTAATCAAAGGTTTGACATAAAATTATTATCAGCGTTCGGAAAAAGTTTAGAGACTTGTTTTAGGGTCTGGAAATAAACAATCTGGAGACATGCAATGATTCTTGATGTGTTGTTTTTAAAAGAACTGATGTTTCTCTGTTCCGTTTCTTTCCCTGTCCTGTTAAATAATTGTCTCAATGAGACTCATATAGGAGTGTAATTGTGATACCGTCCCTTATTGAAAGTTATGTTTGTTTTTGAATGATAATCGGTGTAATTTCTGCTGTTTCAGACTAAATGTGTGTGGTTTAATTTGTTTGAGATTAAAGGAGGAGTAGAAAAACAGTGGCCATGTTTCCCCAGCAGTTTGTCTTGTTCTCTGGAATGTATATGCTGCTCAGCTTCTTCATTGTCGTGCCCCCTCATGAGGTAAAAAGATAACTGGACATGATTGCATATAGGTTGCAAAGACTCATTATTCAATGCTTGTATTTGAGTCTCATATTCAAAATTTATGCAAGTTTTAAAAAAAATCGAGGGTTTCAGGATTCCTCTTTAAAAAAATGTTTTTTTTTTCGATGAAATTCTTTTCACGTGGCCTCAAATCGTCTCTGTGAAACTGCAGAAGACACTGTATATTTGGCTTCTTTTTGCTTGCCCCACCTGTGAATTTTTATTAGTAAAAAAAGGTTCATTGGTCTTGTCGGATTGAACTGAAATTCATTCGGAATGAGGAGAAAGTATTATAATCTAAACATATCGTACGCAACCTTGTAAAACCACTGGTTAAAACGTGAAATGTAGGCTTATGTAAGGTGTAGTGGGTGTCGAGTGGTGTTGGGGTGCTTGTGTTTGAGGTGGAAAAGGTGAGCCGTGTGTTCTGTTTAAGGTCAGACAGGCTGGTTTCTCCACCGAGTACCTGTTTGCATCCTACTTGGGCAACGAGATGCGGGACTTCGTGGGCTACCACATGCGTAGGAACAGTCTCAACATGTTGATCCACTCGTTACTGCCTCTAGGCTTCTACTTCTCAGCAGTCCTCTGTACAGATTATTTTTACAAACATTTGAGTGAGTCCAATGAATTGGTTCATTTACGAGAGCAAGTGTTTTTGAAATCAGGCTTTAGGTTTTGTATCCAGAAAATAGCTTTTCTTCCAAAATGGAAGAAATTGACCTTGCTTAATTACAGGGTTTGGATGGTTTAAAACAAGGCAAAAAACACGTTTCAAAACAGAAAATAAAAACTAGCATTATTTGCTTGAAAACTTGAATTTTTCGACTATCATTTGTATCCATATTTTATGTCGGCTTATAATCCGAAGCAAGGACTTTGATTTAATAGCTTGAAATTTTTAAAATACAATTTCGTTTTTGGCTTTACGAGGATCGATCCAAGTGTTTTGGCTGAGTTTCAGTAATTGAATCTAAATGCTTAATTAACGATGTTCTTCGTGCTTCATGGTATGTGTTCTCAAATCGAACATCATTTCAGGCAAACGTATGCAATTTTTTGTTGGTATTTTTTTTTCGTCAAATAGTTTTATAATGTTTTTTGGCTCCCCTCCTTTTTTTCTATTCACTAGCTCCCCTTCGCTTCTGGGTTACTTTTTGTGGTTTTGCTCATTCTAGAACCATAGCAATAGAACACAGCTACAGTGAAAGTAGCACAGAATGATTAACTTGATCTTTTTCCTTATTGAATTGAGTTATGGTTATTGAATCTGCTCTTTTCAATCAGGTATTTCGGATTAGTTGAATCTAATACGACTAATAGGTTGCGCGTTTTTGATGAGAGGCTTATCTAAGAAGTTGAAATTTGAAAATTTGGATGATTTTTTCGAAGCAGTTGATTAAGTTTTGCGAATACGCTAGCCTCATGAAAACAGACTGAAATATTTTCTAGACGATCTACCAAGTTTTTTATATTTGTCAATGAGCGTAGTGAAGACATTTTTATAGGTCTTGTTTTTTTCAGGAAGCGGTCCACTTCGTTAAGTTCACTTAATTTCTTTTGTTGAACAGAACGCAAACTCTAATATCGAACAGCAAAAGTGTAAAGGTCGCACAAAAGAGATTTATTTCTAGTTTCGAAAGTGGATTTTAGTTTTCCGATTTTCCAGCGAAATGAAAACTTTACGTGTTCATCCAATTTTCTCAAATGAGTTATTTTAACAAAAAATGTCAAAGAATGTCTTGAAATTCAAATAGCTGTAAGGCCCATATGTTAAGGAAACTTGAAAGCCCAACTTAATCCAAAATAAGTAAGTGTTTTTTTTTCGGTTTCGTTCTGTTCAAGGACACTTTTCCTACTGTTTGTTGGATGTTTGAAAAATAGTAATTAAGCTATTGATGTTTTTAGTTTAGTCAGCTTGTAAACAATCTATTATTTTTATGTATTTGATCGATTGATCTATTTGCGTGTTGTGTTGCAGCTGAGACAGCAGTGTACTACTGGGTTGTGTATGTATGTGCAAGTGTGTTGGTGGCCCTCTATGGACTGCTGAGGTTTGTGAGACACTCTGTGAGAAACCACGCCTACCACACACTTGCTATCTCTCTCGCACACCAAGCCACAGGTACACACACAAGCAAACCTCCATTTCCATTCATTCAAGATAACTTTCATTCTGAGAAACATTCATTTTGTCAAAAATTTATTCTCCAACATAAACTTATTTCTTAACTTTTCGTATAGTTTCGCAGAGGAGCTAGAGGACCTGAAATTGAGGGAGAGAATAATTGAGGGGGAGAATTGAACCAATTTCTGAAACTAAAATATAGTTTATTTTTGCTAAAAGAACGACTTTTGTTTGATAATTGCGAAAATATATTGTGCAAAAAAGTTGTTGGTTTTCTGTATCTATTACGGTCTTTTGTAGGAAATAATTCAATCGGTTAATCAGAAGAAGAAATAGCATGAGCAGGAACGGCAAGTGTAAATCGTGCAGTAGAACGAAATGCTATTATTTACATAAAAATTTGGCAATTCTTTCGCGCTTTGTTCATTTCTGATCAGCTATTTGATTGGTTTTACAGGTTCTACATCAGTGTCTTCATCGTCTTTGAGTGTTGGTAATGTCAGTGGCAGCAGTTCCAGTTTCAACAATGGTGCCAGATCTAGTCGAGACAGAGGAACTGGAAGAGGGAGAGGGAACAGTGGCAGTAGCAGTGGGAGGACCTGGACTGTGGTTGCCAATTCTATCAATGCAGAGATGCTCTCCGAGAGAGACAAGTTCACCAGTGGACCTCACAACTGCAGAGTTTACTGCACACGCAATTGGCTCATACAAACTGCAATCTATTCAACACACATGGTGCGAAATGAAAATTTATATATCCTATCGTTGCATGTAATTACACAAGCGAAGCTTGTGTGATATTACGAACTCACTTTTTTTTCCAAGCTAAGTCGCAAATATTAGTGCTCATAAGTGGCACTTTTAGTATATTTCGTTTTCATCATATTTAAGCGTATTAAAGCATAGCTAGTTCAATAGCATATAGTGCTGGTTTGTTTTTGGCTGGTGTTAGGTCCTGTTTGAAAACAACTGGTGCTATGAAAAAGTATGGGATTTGTTAACTTTTGTTTTTTTGCGACCCTTTGGAAACTTTTTTTTTTTTCAAAAGCAACTGAACCAATTTTCAAAAACAATGGTGCCATTGAAAAAACTGGCTGCTATTCTGTGTACCTGCATATTCTGCTAGTCTCTTTTCAGTTTACACCACGTTCTACGGCTTTCGAAATTTTCAGTAGGGCGATTTTTGACTTATTTGATTTTGAATTTGTTCAAATTCTCAAATAACAAATGCTTAAATCTGAGATGAACGGTTAAACTAAAAAACTAATCATTGGGATCTCTCCTTCTCAAGCGGCTATTCACTAAATTTGGAAGAAAAAGTTATGGCCTCAAACAAGCCCATTTTTTGACATTTTCGTTAATTTTTAAATTTTTTTCTCAAAAACTACCCTGCCAAATCGGAGAATAAGAGTTCAACCGGAAGAAAAAACGTGGTATGGGAATCTTCCCTGCGCAAGCGGCTATGCCCTGCGTTTTGAAAAAATATGGCCTTAGAAAATATACAATTTTTGAAACTTTGCCCGTTTTTTGGAAACTTTTTTTTCTTCAAAAACTAACCTGCTGATTCTGAGGTTGATAATTCATTCAAACTAACATCGTGCTTAGATTTTTCCTGTGTAATCTGTTTCGCCTTATTTGTTTTGTAGAAAAGCCGATATGGGCATCGAAAAAATCCATTTTTTGAAGTTTTTACCGTTTTTTTTAAAAGAAGTTTCATCACTGTTCTCGAAAGCTACTAGGTAAAGCCGATATTAAAGATTCAATCTAAAAATCAGGGTGGGGAAATATTTCCTGCATACGAGACTATTCCCATGCTTTAGTAAAGAAAATTTTGTGATTTTAGCCAACCTCTTCAATTTTTGATCGCTTTTTGGAATCTTTCTGATTTTTTTTTCTTCGAAAACTACCCAGCTAAATCTGAGATAAAGAATTCAGTTGAAAGATCGATTCGTAGTTTTTTCTTTGAATATGCAGCTAATCCACTACTTAAGCAGAAAAATTACAAATGTTTTGCGTTAAGTCCATTTTTGAAACTTTCAAAATTACGCGTTTCGGTATCAGTACAAAATATGATCAAAATATTAAAACATGTGAATCTAGCATAAGCTGGGCAACTAGTTTTTCTTCCAAGCGTCCGTGGAGTAATTGCGAGGAAGTGGAAATCCTAATCAACCGGTAGGAGATCCAAATTCGGAACATTAGAATAGTTAACGTTTTTTTGGTCGAGTTTTTCCTGCATCGCATTGGCAATTTGATAGAAACTGCAGCTGCTTTATTGGTGGCTAGTGATAGTAAAATTACAAGCGGCCATGAAGCAGATGTGAAATTGTGTTGCTCTCAAGCCTTGCAAAAAAGTTGCTCAAGGTGTCTTTTCAACCTTTTCCTTATTCTTTAAGTTATGGGGGTTTAAAAATAGTCAATTTGGGACAATTAACGCGCGATTTATTTCGCGCTATTAACGCGTAGGCGGAGATTTAATCCGTCAAAGAAATTGTTCCAAATTGGTTAAAGAAAGGTTATTTGCCATAACTGATTTGTTACTAGGAGCGAAGTTTATCATTTTGTACTTAATTTGGCGTTGCGGGGATGATTGTCACAAAAAAATCTCAAATTAGAAAAAATTTCATTTTATTTTTACTACATTCACTTTTTTCATGTTATTACTGCTCCATAGACTGCCTTATAAATTGAGGCATGTTAGTTGGTAAATTTTCTTTTTTTTTTAAAATTAAATTGACTGGTTCTGCTAATGCGTCATAATTGGCTTGCGTCACTTAAGAAATTTTTTAGGCTCAAAGTTTTACTCGTTCAGTTTTTCCCAGTAGCGTTATCGGTCATATTTTTACTTGTGTATGCGAAGTACAACTTCGCCTCTGTGTAATTTTTTTAAATAGTTTCAGAGATTGACAATAAATAATGTGACAATTCAAGCCCTACAAAGCAGGAAAATAGTGTTGAATTGCCACCAAACTTGAGATGGCTGAGTCTTACTTGACCGACCTTAACCGGACCAGAAAACATTTGGAAATCAAACCTCCCGCTGCGTTAGACAAAATAGGGTATTTAAAGAGCTTCTTAGAAACCCAAAAAAGTCGACTTTAAATGAACCGCGACTCCCTATTGCTCCTCTGTTTTAATACAATACTGAGTGGCTCTGTATAATTTCTCTGGTCTTTAATTGGGTAAGTAGGTGCACAAGAGTGACATCCACCTGGTGCTGGTTGGGAAGCAGCAGCTGCAATTTGTAACAGACACCCCCTATGGAGAAGAGGAGTGGGTGCAGGTGGAAGTGCACAGCATCAACCGTACCATCGCCCCCTTCCAACTCAGACTCAGGGCACAGGTGTGATTTAGTGTATGGAGGAGGTTGGATTATTCCTAATTGGGTTATGCCATAGAGTTTAGTCGGAGAAAGGCCGGGAGCCGAGGGCCATGACATGCTGAGGGTCATGACATGCTGAGGGCCATGACCGGGTGTCTCGGAGTGGTTCTGGTTTCTCATAGTTTTATTGAGAGACCAGACTGAAATAACTTAAGAATGTTGTGAATTACTTTCTTATGGGGTTCATTTTTTAATATCTTACCGATAAATAATCAATTGTACTCATGATCAAATCGAGATCGAATAAAAACTGAAGTAAACAATGAGTAACTTTGTCACGTGAAATTGGAACGACGTAACGCCGATTAAATTGTTTTATACACCCTTATCGTCATATTGGTTCTCGTTTTGGTGAAATTACATAATTTGATGCTCATTTGTGAATTTCAGGAGTACCATGAACTGCGGGAGAGATTGTCTGCGCCAGTGGTGAATGCTCGCAACATAGTGCTGAGTCAGAGCATCAGCGAAAGATTTGTGGCCGCATTCAAATCCTGTGTATCCGAGAACGAACCATTCCGCTCATTCTCAACTGCCGGTATGATGAAGTTTTGGAGAAGATAAACATCAATATCAATGTCATGTTCTAAAAAAACGAGAAAACGGCGGGAAATAGTCATTCTGGATTTGAAAAGTAGCTGCGCTAAAATCAAAATATGGTTAATTTTTGGCTCAAAATAATGCTGTTGTTTAGTGGCGTGCACAGTGACTTTTGTAAAGGGGCTGTTTTTTGAAATAGAATTTTTTCCCCAAGATTTTTTGGTCGACCAGTTTAATTTTCCGAGGTAATCTAAAACATTTTAAGGAACCTATTTTGGTGTATAAGGTCACTGCTGAAGAAGTTATATTAGGTCTGTAATTAACGAAATGTTCAACCCTTTCGATTTCACTGAATTTGGTAAAAATGATTGTTCAGGCTCTGTGTGTGGGACTATGGTGGAACAGTGCATTGGCCTCAAAGTTATGGCCTCAAACAAGCCCATTTTTTGACATTTTGGTTAATTTTTAAATTTTTTTCTCAAAAACTACCCTGCCAAATCGGAGAATAAGAGTTCAACCGGAAGAAAAAACGTGGTATGCGAATTTTCCCTGAGCAAACGGCTATGCCCTGCGTTTTGAAAAAATATGGCCTTAGAAAATATACAATTTTTGAAACTTTGCCCGTTTTTTGGAAACTTTTTTTCTTCAAAAACTAACCTGCTGATTCTGAGGACCTCACAACTGCAGAGTTTACTGCACACGCAATTGGCTCATACAAACTGCAATCTATTCAATACACATGGTGCGAAATGAAAATTTATATATCCTATCGTTGCATGTAATTACACAAGCGAAGCTTGTGTGATATTACGAACTCACTTTTTTTTCCAAGCTAAGTCGCAAATATTAGTGCTCATAAGTGGCACTTTTGGTATATTTCGTTTTCATCATATTTAAGCGTATTAAAGCATAGCTAGTTCAATAGCATATAGTGCTGGTTTGTTTTTGGCTGGTGTTAGGTCCTGTTTGAAAACAACTGGTGCTATGAAAAAGTATGGGATTTGTTAACTTTTGTTTTTTTGCGACCCTTTGGAAACTTTCTTTTTTTTTTCAAAAGCAACTGAAGCAATTTTCAAAAACAATGGTGCCATTGAAAAAACTGGCTGCTATTCTGTGTACCTGCATATTCTGCTAGTCTCTTTTCAGTTTACACCACGTTCTACGGCTTTCGAAATTTTCAGTAGGGCGATTTTTGACTTATTTGATTTTGAATTTGTTCACATTCTCAAATAACAAATGCTTAAATCTGAGATGAACGGTTAAACTAAAAAACTAATCATTGGGATCTCTCCTTCTCAAGCGGCTATTCACTAAATTTGGAAGAAAAAGTTATGGCCTCAAACAAGCCCATTTTTTGACATTTTGGTTAATTTTTAAATTTTTTTCTCAAAAACTACCCTGCCAAATCGGAGAATAAGAGTTCAACCGGAAGAAAAAACGTGGTATGCGAATCTTCCCTGCGCAAGCGGCTATGCCCTGCGTTTTGAAAAAATATGGCCTTAGAAAATATACAATTTTTGAAACTTTGCCCGTTTTTTGGAAACTTTTTTTCTTCAAAAACTATCCTGCTGATTCTGAGGTTGATAATTCATTCAAACTAACATCGTGCTTAGATTTTTCCTGTGTAATCTGTTTCGCCTTATTTGTTTTGTAGAAAAGCCGATATGGGCATCGAAAAAATCCATTTTTTGAAGTTTTTACCGTTTTTTTTTTAAAAGAAGTTTCATCACTGTTCTCGAAAGCTACTAGGTAAAGCCGATATTAAAGATTCAATCTAAAAATCAGGGTGGGGAAATATTTCCTGCATACGAGACTATTCCCATGCTTTAGTAAAGAAAATTTTGTGATTTTAGCCAACCTCTTCAATTTTTGATCGCTTTTTGGAATCTTTCTGATTTTTTTTCTTCGAAAACTACCCAGCTAAATCTGAGATAAAGAATTCAGTTGAAAGATCGATTCGTAGTTTTTTCTTTGAATATGCAGCTAATCCACTACTTAAGCAGAAAAATTACAAATGTTTTGCGTTAAGTCCATTTTTGAAACTTTCAAAATTACGCGTTTCGGTATCAGTACAAAATATGATCAAAATATTAAAACATGTGAATCTAGCATAAGCTGGGCAACTAGTTTTTCTTCCAAGCGTCCGTGGCGTAATTGCGAGGAAGTGGAAATCCTAATCAACCGGTAGGAGATCCAAATTCGGAACATTGGAATAGTTAACGTTTTTTTGGTCGAGTTTTTCCTGCATCGCTTTGGCAATTTGATAGAAACTGCAGCTGCTTTATTGGTGGCTAGTGATAGTAAAATTACAAGCGGCCATGAAGCAGATGTGAAATTGTGTTGCTCTCAAGCCTTGCAAAAAAGTTGCTCAAGGTGTCTTTTCAACCTTTTCCTTATTCTTTAAGTTATGGGGGTTTAAAAATAGTCAATTTGGGACAATTAACGCGCGATTTATTTCGCGCTATTAACGCGTAGGCGGAGATTTAATCCGTCAAAGAAATTGTTCCAAATTGGTTAAAGGAAGGTTATTTGCCATAACTGATTTGTTACTAGGAGCGAAGTTTATCATTTTGTACTTAATTTGGCGTTGCGGGGATGATTGTCACAAAAAAATCTCAAATTAGGAAAAAATTTCATTTTATTTTTACTACATTCACTTTTTTCATGTTATTACTGCTCCATAGACTGCCCTATAAATTGAGGCATGTTAGTTGGTAAATTTTCTTTTTTTTTAAATTAAATTGACTGGTTCTGCTAATGCGTCATAATTGGCTTGCGTCACTTAAGAAATTTTTTAGGCTCAAAGCTTTACTCGTTCAGTTTTTCCCAGTAGCGTTATCGGTCATATTTTTACTTGTGTATGCGAAGTACAACTTCGCATCTGTGTAATTTTTTTAAATAGTTTCAGAGATTGACAATAAATAATGTGACAATTCAAGCCCTACAAAGCAGGAAAATAGTGTTGAATTGCCACCAAACTTGAGATGGCTGAGTCTTATCGACCGACCTTAACCGGACCAGAAAACATTTGGAAATCAAACCTCCCGCTGCGTTAGACAAAATAGGGTATTTAAAGAGCTTCTTAGAAACCCAAAAAAGTCGACTTTAAATGAACCGCGACTCCCTATTGCTCCTCTGTTTTAATACAATACTGAGTGGCTCTGTATAATTTCTCTGGTCTTTAATTGGGTAAGTAGGTGCACAAGAGTGACATCCACCTGGTGCTGGTTGGGAAGCAGCAGCTGCAATTTGTAACAGACACCCCCTATGGAGAAGAGGAGTGGGTGCAGGTGGAAGTGCACAGCATCAACCGTACCATCGCCCCCTTCCAACTCAGACTCAGGGCACAGGTGTGTGATTTAGTGTATGGAAGAGGTTGGGTTATTCCTAATTGGGTTATGCCGAAGAAATTAGTAGGAGAAAGGTTAGGCGCCGAGGGCCATGATATGCTGAGGGTCATGACATGCTGAGGGCCATGACCGGGTGTCTCGGAGTGGTTCTGGTTTCTCATAGTTTTATTGAGAGACTAGACTGAAATAGCTGAATAATGTTGTAAATTACTTCCTTATGGGGTTCATTTTTAATATCTTACCGATAAATAATCAATTCTACTCAAATCGAGATCAAATAAAAACTGAATTAAGCAATGAGGAACTTTGTCAAGTGAAATTGGAACGACTTAACGCCAAATAAATTGTTTTATACAGCCTTCTCGTCATATTGGTTCTCGTTTTGGTGAAATTACATCATTGGATGTGCATTTGTTTAATTTAGGAGTACCATGAACTGCGGGAGAGATTGTCTGCGCCAGTGGTGAATGCTCGCAACATAGTGCTGAGTCAGAGCATCAGCGAAAGATTTGTGGCCGCATTCAAATCCTGTGTATCCGAGAACGAACCATTCCGCTCATTCTCAACTGCCGGTATGATGAAGTTTTGGAGAAGATAAACATCAATATCAATGTCATGTTCTAAAAAAAACGAGAAAGCGGCGGGAAATAGTCATTCTGGATTTAAAAAGTTGCTGAGCTAAAATCAAAATATGGTTAATTTTTGGCTCAAAAGAATGCTGTTGGTTAGTGGCGTGCACAGTGACTTTTCTAAAGGGGCTGTTTTTTGAAATAGAATTTTTCCCCAAGATTTTTTGGTCGAGCAATTTAATTTTCCCAGCTAATCTAAACCTTTTAAGGAACCTATTTTGGCGTGTAAGGCTACTGCTGAAGAAGTTATATTAGGTCTGTAATTAACGAAAATGCGCAACTCTTTCGATTTCAATGAGTAAACAATGAATAACTTAAGAAAGATTTTTAATTTAACATAACTTAAGCCCAACATAATTTAAGAAAGATTTAATATTCAAAAAGTTTTATCAAATTGTTTCGATTCCACTGAATTTGGTGAAAATGATTTTTCAGGCTCTGTGTGTGGGACTATGGTGGAACAGTGCATTGGCTGCAGTGTCTCCTTGGCTGATGTGAAACTCATAAAGGCCTGTGAGGCGAGAGGCTGTGGGGAGTGCTTTTGCAGACCACTATGGTGAGTCATCAGCTATGTTTCCCAGATTATTCGGATTGTTAGGTTGCGTTCCTCGAGCAAATAGTGCTGATTTAAATAATCCGGACGAAACGCACAAAACTTAAATTTTTAACGCGTTTTCTTATATAGGGTTGACTTTAATTGATAAATGATCAGGAAAAAATTTGCTTAGAAGTTCGTCTGGAAATTCAAAGAAGGTTAAGGCCTGATAATTTTTGCTTTGAGATTCGAAAGTTGGAAGTTTTTATTTCAAAAACAACTCAGTTTTTTTTTCTTTTTCTTGCGTTTGTTACTCTATCCAGCTGTCAATTAGCTGTGTTGTGTCTATCAAACAAAAATGAATTAATTGATACAATTTTTTGAATACTGAATCTTAAATTATGTTGGGCTATATAAGAGGCTCTTTTTTCGGTAGTTCTGGCAGAATTTTTTACTGTCTTAAAAACTCAAAAATTATCCATTTTTTGGAATAAAGTTTTGCGCCCGAAATTCGCAAAACACTTTGAACCAAATTAGTTGAAATTCTAACCAAGTTTTGCCTTCATTATTTGTCACTTAAAGTCGACGCAATTTGAAAAGCATGCGTTTTTAATTTCAGGTTTTCTGCGCTTTGTCCGAATAATTCGAATCAGCGCTGTAGAATTGCATTTATATTTGGGCTTTATTGACAGGAAAATGTAAAAATCATCTTTGTTCTTGGAATTATTAATTGTTCTTTTTTTCGAAATTTTTTAAGTATTGAACGTAGACTTTTAAATAGAGCATTGTGCTTTTTATGTTTTTTTTTGTTATTTAAAGAACTCATTGTGCTACTTGCTCAGCAACCGGTTAGCCGACCATTGAAAATGAAGAGGAACTTTTATTCGGTTGTTTTAAGTCTTATTGTTTTTTTTTTGTTTTTCACGCAAAATTAGCTACCAAAAAATCATCGAAGTGAGCTGAGTTATATATCTTTTTAAAGCCCTTTTGGTCGTAATTTGAACGTCAATAAAGTTTTTCAAAGTTTTTTTTCCCAGTGTCGAGGAAGACCGGTGCCGGCTTGAACTTTTCGATTTCAAGTCTAACTTCGAGCAAGTAATGCGAGCGAGTAGGCTTACAATAGATTTATAGGCTTAATTTACGCCGTGAAAACTTAATTGTAATCGATAAAGTTATTTTTTGGAGTTGTTTTGGTGCCATTTTGGGAATAAAAAATTCAAAAATTTGTAAAATTCCTGCAATAAAAAAGTTTGAATTTTTTTAATGACTTTTTGTTTTTTTTTTCTGATCTTTTTACCACAGAAACTGTTGTTTAAATAGCTTATTTTATGACTGTCGAATATGCCAAACTTACACTTTTTCGTTCAGTTCCTTTTATCACACCACGCAGAAAAACCACGCTAATTTGAATTAAAATTTAAGACTATGGTTCGGAACTTTTTGTGATAGTTGAACAGTAACCGGCTATCTTTGTTACAAATGCCTTTAGTTTATTACATTCCAAGTTGTTACAGGCTGAATTTTTGTTTTTGTGCATTTTGAAGTTCTCTTCTAGATTGTCTTTGATTTCTTGAGTGGTCAGTGGCGCAAGTGTGTAGTGCAATCAACCAAAAAGTTTTATTTCCGAGGACTTCAATTACAGTTGAGGGTATTCTTTTTTTTGGGGGGTAGATCTGTAAATCATGTATCAGTGAACCGGAAACGGGTGGACCAGGTCAGTAAACAGAAAATTCATGATTCAATTACGTAAAATCATTAGCTAAAAACTGAGATTTTTACAAATGACAAATTTTTCCTTAAAACAAATTAAATTTAAAAAGGAATAAAATAACTCTTCCCAAGCGCCCCGTATATTTAAAATTATTGTTATAACCCCAGGAAACACTTTCTAAAAATCTTCATTTGATGTAATTATTACGTAAATCGGTGTACTGATCTGGCAATTAACTGGCATATCGGTTTACTGTACGCACCCCATTTTTCAAAAAAAAATTTCCACTTTTTTTGACCCTTTCATGCTACTAAGCATTTTTGCGCTTTTGTTTGCGAAGTTCAATTTCGTTTCTGTTGCAAATATTGAACACTTTTTCTAAAAATCTTCATTTGATGTAATTATTACGTAAATCGGTGTACTGATCTGGCAATTAACTGGCATATCGGTTTACTGTACGCACCCCATTTTTCAAAAAAAAATTCCACTTTTTTTGACCCTTTCATGCTACTAAGCATTTTTGCGCTTTTGTTTGCGAAGTTCAATTTCGTTTCTGTTGCAAATATTGAGATTGAGTGAATTTTTTTAATTATACGAGTTGATTTTTCAGTCCAACTTGCAAATAAAAGTTTTCATTTGGTGGCTTTTTGCAGCGTAGCTATGGCGATAGCGTTGGCAATTTAATAGCCTGTGGCTTTTTTAATTTTGCGGCATTCTCGTATTTTATAGCAAATGATTTGTGTATTAAAGTCGTTTCAGTCGTGATGCGAACGGCAACAAAAAATTCAGAAATCACACTCAGTGTCGAGAAAAACACAATGTATCTAGAAATTTTTGCTTTTTAGCTTTTTTGAGCTAGTAAAGAGAGCGAGTAGGTGTTATTTTGCTAAAATTTTTAAAAAGAAAAAAGGTTTTTCAGGAAAGATTTTTTTGAATTTCATTTAGCGCTTCATCGGCAAATTAGTTTTCATTACACTTGAGAAGCTAGTGTATTAGTACGAACCTTTTTTGTTCCAACCTAAGTCGCATATATTGGCGCGGCTTTTTTTATGGTGCGGCACCCAAATATTGATGGGGCCCCTTTTTAGCTTTTTGATAGCATGTGCTTTGACATTCGAATAGTAATAAATTAACACAGTTTATGCATTTTTAATTCAAACGAAAAAAGCTTTTTTGTTTCAAACACCGTCACAATAATATAAACTCGATTTCAGAAATTTTTTAACTCAATATATCCCGCAATTTTTTGAAATGCATAATTTTTACATAATGTGGCTTTATGCTTTGCGATTTGTTACATGCAAAGTTAGTGGATGCCTTCAGTTTGTAATATTCAAAATTATTAACTACAAAAATGAGTCTATTTGTATTTTTTCCTGAATCGCATTGGTAATTTGTGAGCATATGTAGCTGCTTTATTGGTGACTAGTGTTTGTCGGTTGCTAGGCTTGCGTGGCTGACGGGATAGTGTGTGAGACTCAAAATCTCTTGATTGCTGTAGGTAGAAGATTCGAATCCTTACACGGAGCAAGTTTTTGCTAATTCGAGGCTTATTTCTACTTTTTCTGATTTAACTTGATAGAGCTGCTTTTCAGTCGTGTTCTCGCAAGTGTTTGCGAAGCGAAGCTTCGCTTCTGTGTAAAATCTTAATGTTTTTTTCTGTTATTGTTTTTCGAAGACAAGGTATTTTTTGAATTGCATAACGAAATTGTTTGGCTAATTATCACTGCTGCGTGATTTTATAAGCGTAAACTATATTAGCAGCAGTATTGTGCTAGTTAGTAGCACTGTTCGCATTGATTGTAGGTGTGTCGTGTGCTTGAGCAAGTGGTTCTGTGCAAGACAGGATCAGAATCAACCTCACAAGTGGCTAGAAGGAAGTGCTCCTTGCCCTACATGCAGAGCCAAGTTCTGTATTGCCGACGTCTCATATATCCAACACCCAGTGCCTAGTCCAGACGCAGACCATCACGATCCACTCACTGAACCTGGAGAGGATCAGAGTCAGGATGAAGAAGAGGAAGAAAATAGTGTGAAAGAGAAAGCATCGTAGGCAGATAATGCTTGTAATGCTGCTTTGCCTTAGGCTAGAAAGTAATTTAAGTTCCTATTGTAAATATTTAATTGTGGTTAGAAGCTATTAGTACAAAATTCTAAATAGGTTCATGTTTTATCTCGTGTTTTCGTGAATAAAATTTTGAAAAACATGAATCAAAGGATTTCTTTTCTCATGAACGAGTGCATTGTTGAGGTCATTTATTACACTAGAGCGCCTGCGAGTGTAGTGTATTAGTACGAACCTTCTTTTTTCTAACCTAACTTGCTAATAATAGTGCTCATTTGGTTGCATTTTTGCTATAATCATGATCGATAGCATAGGAAGTTTCATATCATCTGTTCTTTGCTTTATTTATGGCTAGTGTTAACACTTGCGAACTTTTTGCGAGGTAGTGTTATAGTACGACTATTCCTTTTTTCTAACCTAAGTAGCAAATATTGGTGCCACTAAGCGGACACCTTCACAGTTTTTTGATACCATGTGCTTGGACATTCAAATATTAATAAGTTAACACAGTTGATGAACGTTTAAATCATCTACTGAACCAAAAAAGCTATTCCAAATTATTACATGTCAAACTGTGTCTTTTTGTTTTTGTGGCCACTTTTGCTTCATCGCATTGGCAATTTATTAGCACTTGTAGCTGCTTTATTCGTGACTAGTGTTTGTTTCTTGTTAAGAGTTCGTGGCCGAGCTGCCTGGATGTGAGACTCCAAATCTCGAGGTCGCAGGTTCGAATCCGATACGTAGCAAAGTTTTACTAATTCGAGGCTTATTTCAATTTTTTTTGTTTTCTTTTTGTAAGTGTTTTTTTGGGTTCTCACAAGTGTTTGCAGAGCGCAGCCTCGACTCTGTGTTGTTCATTTTTATGCATTCGAGGCTGAGTGGTTAGTGCATTGGACTCATAATCTCTAGCTCCCAGGATCAAATGGCACACTTAGCCGATTTTTTTTTACTAATTCGAGGCTTTTTTCTACTTTGTTTTTTCACTTTTGCTTATTGAGGTTGCTGTGCAAGTAGAACACAGTCGTTTGATCACTCATTTTGGATAGACATCTGCTGTACAAGTAGCAAAGAGTTTTGCGACCACGATAATTTAAATTTTAAAAAAATTATGAAATGGATTTTAAAAATTGTGTTGATATTTTTCATATTTACTGTTAACTAGAAAAAAGTTGACTAGTGGGACAGCTAAAAATTGCAAAAGAGTGAGACAAGAAAACTGAAAAATTTTCGAGTTTTTGAAATAATGTAGATTTTTGTTTGAGTTTGAAAAATATCACTTCGCCTGAGTTCCTTCCCACTATTTGATTGGTCGGAAAAATAGCTCATTGGATTTTATAAGGAACAGTATTCGTATTTACACAAGCAATGGTTGTGTTATAGTATGAACCATCTTTTTTTTTCAACTCAAAACTTAAATATAGTGTGCGAAAGTAACGGAATATGTGTGCTCGCGGTGGTTTTTTTTCTTAGAAAGTTCGACTTTTTAAACAGCCATTGTGACGGAATTTTTAAAATATTATTCAAAAAGTATTGTTGTCTTGAGCTTAAATTGGGAGAGATTTTTCACTTGTGATCATTTTTTGTAAAGCTATGGGGCCTTAAAAAATGCC